GGGCGGTAGCTTTCCAAAGAGCAAACCATTTAATTGAATTCTGTGCAGCTCCTTGTTATTCTAGTCATGACTGAGAGCCGCTCCATATTGTCCCAGCAGTGTGGGAGGGCCGGCCATACCTGCAACTGACTGGTTGGGACTTTTGTGTGTGTGTGTGTGTGTGTGTGTGTGTGTGTGTGTGTGTGTAGAGGCAGGGGTTGTGAAGTGATTGTGGTTGTGCTGGTGTTTTTCTTGCGCAACTCGAGTCCTGATGTGGTAACGAGGAGGGGAAGTGGTGAAAGTCAGCCCTGAACCTCACCCTGAAAAGAAAGCACGAAACTGCTACAACATTAATACTAAATGTGTGTGTGAGAGAGAGAGAGAGAGAGAGAGTAAAAAAGGGAGAGAACATAGGAGATTTGAGAATGAGTGCGTGTAAACCTATCAACTCATTGTCCTCGTTACAAAGCGACCCAAACTGCACAAAAGAGCACAAAATAACACAGTTCCCAACACACAGTCAGCTGAGCCACAGAGAAGATATGCTGTCTAATAAAATGAATAGAGTCTCTAAGCAATTACAAGCTTAAACGATGATGCATAAATTTCATTTATAGATAGATTTCACCAGGGCTTATCTCTGAGAAACACTGTAATAGGATTCAGCTGGAAGGAAAGGTGTGTGTGTGTGTCTGCGTGCGTGTGTGTCTGTGTTTGTGTGTGTGTGTGTGAAATGTTGGATTGTGATTAGGCTGATTGGTAAAAAGGTGACCAGGATTCATGGTAATGACTCGCTGCTCAACAAGGACACCTAAAACCTCGGTGAATCTCGACATGGTTAACGATTGGTTTCATATTACTGTAGCTGAAGGGTAATTCTCCAGGGAGATGTTTCAGGTACGAGCTAAATACAGCACAATGACAATCCAATCAACCCTTTCATCTCCACACACACACACACACACACACACACACACAGATGCTCCCACTGCCCCCCTCTATCGGTGACCTCATAGTCTTTGATCGGTGCTATCGGACGCACACTTGTGTTTGTGTGTTGCTGATTGTCATTTAAAACAAAAACCAAGATGACAAAAGGCAAAGAGTCACTGTTCATAGGTGACAGAGGCCTGGGAAGGTTTTACTGGCTGCAGTCCAATGCTTCCTGAGGTTGACACACACATTCCATGTATTATATACTTATGGTAGAATATAGTATTTAACATATGTGTGTACAGTATTTTATGTTGGCTTTCGCTCTGATCTCACAGCTCAAAGATGTGGCCAATTGGAAAATTGATTGCAACTTCCTGTCTTTTCATCACTGCGCAAATGATGCAATGTATTGACATTACTGTTGTATGTTGCATGCCAGCTTAAGTTTTTGTGTCCGGAATAAAAAACAGCAACATTGTGGTTGATACAGACAAAGGAAACTATGAAATACACTCAATCATGATTTAACCTTAATCGTCTAATAAATTATTTCAAATACAGACCTGGTTGCACATTTTTATCTTCTAGATAAAACATCTTAAAATGCAACAGTGACAATAACCCATCGATATGTTGGATTTGTATTTTTTGAGGTCAAAAATAACCATAAACATTT